AGAGATTATGAATCATGTAAAATATCCTTTTCACTCTGGTTTTTTTTATTCCTTTACGCTCCCAGTGGAACATAGGGCTTCGAGCTAAAGATTTGAAGTGTCGGTAGTAGTGGTGTTTATTTTTTACAGGATAGGGTTGCTAACCTCAAGCCCACGCTTTCCCCTTTACCAGTCTTATTACTGGCTTAGCGAGGTAAAGGAGTGCGTTTGTGACCGGGGATCGAACCCCGGACCTCATGCGTGGTCGGCGAGCACTCTACCGCTATGCCACCAATTATGAATCATCTAAAATATCCTCCTCCCTCTGGCACTGTAAAAAAGGACTTCAGAGATTAAGAAAAACCGCACCTTTAGTTATTGAAGCTACGTCTTCATAAAATCCGGCCAACATAGCGACATGTGCAGGTCTTGATTCTGTAGGCACTCGTGTATGTGATACACCCCATAATCCACGGTGTGTGAGAACATCTCTACAAAAATGTAAAAAGATATAAAGAAAAATTCAAATTCGCAAATTAATCTGCTGTAAATGTAATTGACTATGAGAGAACGAGCATAATGGTCGATACGTTAACTTAGCACGGCATTTGAGTTGCTTATAATAGTTGCATAGATGCAACTGGTTCAAAGCAAACTATGACTCTATGCATGCGAAAAATGTTAACATTTCCAAATGTATATATATATATAATGCTTAACTGGATTGCAGACAGTTATCTACATTAAGCACAGAAACTCAGTTATGCTGATACAAGTATATCCCCTTGAGGAAAGCTATTCAACTGTGTATTAACAAACACACCAACCTAAATCGCAGTTTACTAGTTATCCGTCAGTGTCAATAAGCCTTGTATGTACTTTTCCCCCGTCCAAGTGCACAATACTGTTGCAACACTGACAGGAGTTTCTAACATTCACGTAAGAACTATTCATGATATTAGATAGTTGGAGGCAATCGGCCACATTGCAAACCTGACTGATAGAATTCAGTCTGCACCAAAGAAAGGACTAGACACGTCGCACTAGTTACTAGTGTCCAATCAAAATAAGAACTATTCATATTGAGATGACTTATTTCCTTTTAACCAACTCGTTTGTTTTGCTGTTTCACTAACCATAGAAGCGAACATAATACAATAGTGTTTGATAGACGAGTTAGTCCTACTGATGACCTTAGATCTAAAAGGTCCTAAACAGAAAACAATGAATGTATCAAGTTAGGCGTCAACCCACTACAAGTCTAATATCATGAGGAAGACTAATAAGTACCACTCGATGAATACTCAACATTAACTAAAAGCAAAGAATGTTTGGGAGAGGCGGAGGGAAACCCCAACTAGCTAGTACTTCTAGAGACCGAAACTAGGAAAGGACATTTAACCGATGCTCCTTGGCTTCTAAAAGTTTTATAAATGATGTCGCAAAACAGGTTTGAAACTGCACTACTGGTATTTATCTTATAAACTGTTTGTGGATCTCCTAACGCGAGTTTATTTTTATAGTTAAAGCCTTGAGATTTCAAGGATTATAAAAGAAAGCTAACCGTTAGAAGCATTCATGAACACATACTGTATGAGTCTTTAGTTAAAATCTGTAGACGCTAATGTGGGTGAATTAAGTGGTTTCGAGTATACTGTTTTGACATCTACAGTTTATTTAAGGTGACTGAAAAGTAAGTGCTCATATATGAGAATCCATCAGAGGAAATGTTTCTAAAAGCCTACTGGCTTGATAGTACTAGCCGTATAGAGGGTAAGTGTATATATGGAATGGATTTACAAGAATGGAAGAAATTCAATCTCCTACTTCAAGAAAAATTTACACCAGAGAACAGAAAAAGGAACATTTGAACCAGGACAACTGAAAATGAAGTTTAATCCATTTTTCTGGTTCAAATTTGCGCGATAATTAACAGATTGCCGAGGAAGTGTAATCTGTTACTTAATCAGAACTATTCGTGAAATCGCGTAGTATAAGCAAACGAATTTCCATGTTTTTGTCGAGCGAAGAGTACACAGACTATGGCTCACTCGACCACACATCACTTAAAAGCGGGCACATCTTTATCTACATTATTTATGAGGTAATTATTAGCTATTTAACATCATCATCCGACGAAATGACAAGGAATTAGGATAAAACTAATAGAAATAAACCTGAATCATTATGGACAGTGATGATCCATAGTGTATTGAAACGCTGACTGGGCATAGTTTACCTTGCGGAGAACTACGAATTAGTCAGATTCAGTGACCTAAACTCCTCACAAAAGTATTCGACGTGGGATTTAACAAACAAATAGTTGTTTGCATGACTGCTATTTTATCCGAATTCTTAGGCTTACAACTGTCGACTAGGGAGGTGTGAGAAAATAGTAGCAACGATCAAACCATGCTTTCATAACTTGAAACGTCACTTCCAAAGACCCCCAAGAAGATGGAGAGTTAGGTGTTGTTGTGGAATACGACTATATTTTCAAAAGCCATAATTTATTCAACACAATAATCTTTTGTTTCTATGCATTTCATTCCAATAACTAGGAAACAAACAGTGGTATTTGTATAAACTCACCACCATAAATGTAACCATTGAATATATCCTGAGTGTATTAATATACTTGTACAACTTCGGCACTGTGGTAATAGGCTGTTCTGGATTACTTTATTTATTGGATAAATCACAGTGAAAGTGTATTATTTTTCCACTAAATAATGCTGTTTTACTGTGATATACCTAATAAACAAATCAGTATTGAATTACTTCTGAAAGTATGGTTTTGTCAAATAATTTTGATTATTTACCTGTTTAATAGGATGTTACTTATGAACCATGTTAGAGCGACTTACGGTAGAAGCGTCGTTCCATTTAATAAATAAAACTCACAATTACACAACAAAAAATTTGTGGTTCTACCATGAGTAACGTTTACAAGCTTCTTTTGGGGACTGAAATGGCGCTTAATTACATCTGTACCAAATTAGGTTCAAGGACACTTAAACTCATTTTTATCACAGATATATGCGCTTAAATTCTGAGTACATGATAGTTATAAAGTTAAAGATGCTAGGTGCGATGATGTAGATTGAAAGCAGTTATAAGTACGCCTACGGTGTAAATATGATGAGTTTAAAGTGCTTTCTCAATGAAGAAAAAAGTTAGTTATGGCTGAAACAATGCTGAAGAGTATCAGTCGATGCTGAACTAATAAATAAAGTGTGGAAAAAATGTAATGTTAAACGCCAGGTGGTGCTAAATAACAGCGCAGATATCTGTTTTATGTGAAACATAACTCCATCTTTGGCACAATTTTAGCACAGATACAAAGTTCAGGAAAATTTTTCCGCACCAATAAATATTGGTATTAATAAAGCCTGCAAGTACAGTTAAGCCAATCGGCAAGGCATAAAAGTTCAAAATGTACACAAAACTGCTTGTGAAACATCAGCTAAAAAATTTGAATTAGTGACATACCTAAGAAACGGTGTATGATTCATATCATGGTCAAATAATTTGTTCGCTCTAAGGCCATCTGAGACGATGAATATGACATGTGTTGCAGGAGCACTGATATTAAGAGGAACCAGATCCGAACCATGAGTTAATGGCGAAGTGTAATAAATATCAAATATAGAATAAAACTGCACTAAATATATGAAGACTGAGACGCAGAACTCAAACACCTGAGACATGACCTTCAAAACGAATTCTCGCCTGTCCAACCGAGAATTCAAAATCCAATGTCAAATTCTTCAATTTTCGTGTTATAGCTGAAGTAAACTAATAGGTATCAAGCTTTCAAAGTGTGAAATTTAAATGAGGAATTTTATAATGCTTTATGCAGTTCTGTTTGTATTTTTGAATGCAAAGAAATGGAGAAGGGAAATTCAAGAGATAGGATAAAAGGTGTGAATATTACATACACCTTTACTAGGAAGGAATTATGCTTCTTCCATAATAACATATAGAAGTACAAGATTCTGCAATTCCATATTATTTTTGTTTATTAGATATATCACACAGTGAAACAGTATTATTTATTGAATGACGTTTCGAACACAATTTATTGTTCTTAATCATATATGTCACACACTGATACATCTAATGAACAAATTAATATGGAATTACATACTACTACATTACCCAAGTCTTACACATATGTTATTATGGCCTTCCTGTTCGAAGACTAATCAATAAACAAAAGATTCTACACTATCTTATAAAAACTAAGACCTAACCGCATTAAATTGTAGTGCGGTTTCCAACGTATTAAGACTTCGTTTTAACGTGTACGCCTTCAGATTGTCTCCAACGCCATATTCGCGCTTTTCCGTAGTGCTACGTAGGCTTGTTTCTTTTGAGTTTGTAATACAGCCGTATTCATTATATAAGTTCTAGACCTTTTTCCCTGGATAATCTTTATCTTTAATTTTACTCACACTTACTGCTAATAAGAGTACACTCCCTCAATAACCGGGTCATTTTAAATTTTGTTTATCGCCATTGCTTACAGGATGGGTAGAGTAGTGAATTATTGGATAACTAGGCAAATTACGTTAAATAATATCAAGTAGTTGTAGCTTATTAACAGCACCACCAATACCTTACAATATTATATTATAATATATTACACTTTTAGACGCTCACTTAGACCGAATTTATTTCTTTATTATAAAAGATACTATATTGTTTTACGGCACCTTCTTCCCCCTTGGAATGATATAATCAACACGAATGTGACAAGCACTTTCATCACATAATAATCACTTTATTCCAAAGAATAATAATTATACGGAATGGAATTTTCAGCGTTATTGTACATATTGCAACAGTTAAGCTCCTCTTATAAATATGTACATACGTAATATTTTAAATATTAATAATGAAACCACTACAAACAGAACGTTGGTGAAAAAATAATGAAGTATAAGTAGATAGTATCATAGATAATACATGTCATAATAATAATAATCTTTACTTACTACTTTGCAGTTCAGATTACTAATTTTAAAAGTTTTTTTAGTTCTTTTCTGATATCTTACTCTTCACACAAAACCACTGCTAAATATGGTACGGTAGAATACTTATATTTACTTGTACAAGCGTAAATTATCATATAGTTTTTTCGGTTTTACCTGAAGATATGCAAGGCAAAAGTTAAGAATGAAGAGAACGTTCAGTATCAGATGGGATACCTTTGGCCAAATGCTTGTAAGAATTGAAGTGTCTGTTGACAATAATGTCAGTTAGCTGAGTCACAGACAATAATAACAATAGTATATGTGATAAAGGTATTGACATTAAATAGCAAAACGTCAGCAGAAACATTGTTTTGTTTTACATTCATTGGGTGATACGAAATCTTTTATAATAATGAATATCATGTTCCCAGTGTCCGATTTTTTCAAACTATTAAATGTTAACTCGGTTAGGTTTATATAACGAGTCTATTTCTTTTGGTTCGATTATTGAT